GACCTTTGGAAAAGCAGTCAGTGCTCTTAACCTCTGAGCCATCTCTCCAGCCCAATACCTAGAATTTATAAAGAATTCCTCCCAATACCAACCTAAACAACTTAATTAGAACATGGCAAAGAACTTGCATAGTTTGCTAAAGATCATACACAAATAGCATGGATATGAAAAGATCATTAGTCATTACGGAAACATAAATAAAAGCCTCTCTGAGACACTAACACATCCATTAGGGTGGCTATTATCAACAATGACTGCCAGAAAATAAACTTCCATAAGGATGTGGAGACATGGGGCCCTTGAGCAGTGTGTGGTGGTGCCTCCAAAAAATTGAAAATAGAATTAGCATAAGGTCCAGCAAAAGAGCTGAAAGCAAGGACTGGATGGGAAGTTCAAGTCACCCGTGTTCATAGAGACTTTATTCACTATAGCCAAGGATGGAAGCAATACAGAGTGTATGGACAGATGAATAGATAAGCAAAAATTTATATGTATATACATTTATATGTATATATACAGTGGAATGCCATTCAGCTTGAAGAAGGAAGAGAACCATGCCACATTTCTACATCGTGGAGAATCGTTGAGGACATTTTGCTAAGTGAAATGCACCATTCACAAGAGACTGCAACCGCCGGGCGGTGGTGGCGCACGCCTTTAATCCCAGCACTCGGGAGGCAGAGGCAGGCGGATCTCTGTGAGTTCGAGGCCAGCCTGGTCTACAGAGCGAGATCCAGGAAAGGCGCAAAGCTACACGGAGAAACCCTGTCTCGAAAAACAAAACAAAACAAACAAATAAACAACAACAACAAAAAAAAACAAGAGACTGCAACTTCAATTAGAGGAGTGGTCAAAATCAGGGAGAGAAAGTAGAAAGGTTGTCACCGGGAGCTGGGGAGAGGGGCTGGGGAGTTTTTTAGTAGGTAGAGTTTCTGCTTTGCAAGATCAGTTGCATACCGGTATGCTATGTGTCCATTCACCACCACTACAGAACTGGAGAAACGATGGAGATGGTGAAAAGCTGTCTGCAAAGAGACCCAAGGCCACAGGGATATCAAGACAAGGCGGCAGGGGCATGCTGGCTGGTGAAGATGAAGAAGGGTTGATGTGCTGGAAGGAGCGGGTAACTGAGAGGCTGCGAGTAGCCAGGCCAGACCTGAGCTGGGTCCTGGCTGTGGAAGTTTGTATGGCTTGTATGACCTGGTGCTGTGAAAGCTGATCGGTCAATACCCTGGAAAGCTTTAAAGTGGGGGATGATCTTTCCCTGTAGCTGCCAGGAAGTCCTCATCTGTCTGACTTTTCAAGCTCATCACCACCAGAACCTTCCTAATTAAAGCCATGTCCCAACACATGCACATCCCCATCCTGGAAAGAGTCCTAAGGGCAGCCTGGCTGGTTCCCCATCTAGAACTTGGAAGCCTCTGCAAAGCTTAAGAGGCAGATTCCCAGGCCAAATACAGCTCAGGTCCCAAGAGATGTCCTATAGTTGAGGGGCATGGCTCTCACACACAACCATGCATGACCCCAGAACACAGAACTCCCTTAGGATTGTTCCAGGCCTGGGGACCAGAGTTCTCAGATTTCCAGATTCAGGGAACAAACTGCACTTTCAGAAATGATGTCTCCCATAGCCAAGTCAGGGAGCCCCAGGATAGAGCAGTCTCAGGGGCAGGGGTTTAGAGTGGAGACTACAGCAGCTGTGGTTTCCAGAGACCTTTAAAGACTCCCAGAAGAGCTGTAAGAAACCTCCTTGTCCCAGGCTGTCATCTAAAGAGACCCATGTGCTCTGGCCAAGGGACTGGAATCAGATCTCCAGAGTCCCAGGACCCGAGTCTCAGGCCAGGCCTCCTCAGGCTCCCACTCTCCATAGCTCTTTATCTTGGGTGTCACCAAAGTCCGAGGTATGGTAGAAATCTAGATGCACTCCAGGCCCCTAATACCATCCCACGCCTGGAAGCCATCAGCACAGGATCTCAGTGAGGTCAAGCTGCAACTCTCACTTCACCGACGTGTTTCAGTGTGGCTCCCACTGACCCATCTCATGTCTTCCCCTGCCCCCTTTCCCTTGCCCGGCTTGGCAATCCACCAGAACTTGTCATCCTAACCCAAACTCACCCAGTGTTAGTCCTCACTGCCCCAGTTCCTTGCTCTTGGTCTCTGCTGATCAGCTGCTATGCATTCTTTAGCACAGAGCTTTCCTCAAGACCAAAGGACAGGATCATGGTCCCCACTTTCTACATACAAGCTACATGCCTATTTCAAAAGCAGAAGAGCCCCTACCTACCTTGGGTTCCCAGCCCTATGACCAGCTACCCTCCTAAGTTTGTTGACTGAGAAAACAAATGCATTTCTCTCCCTGTCTCTGTTGTTTATTCTGGTACCTTCCCCAAAGCTCTGACCATAAAAGGCTAACTAGTAGATGTTTACTTGTGTTGACTCATGCCAACCGTGCACAGGTGTTCACATTTCCATGTCACAGATAAGGCACCCGAGTATGTGTAGTGATGGCCCAAGGCCTCCCAGATGTAGCAAGTGGTGCAAACTGCAGGGAGATCCATCCAGCTTAACTGGCTGCAGAGCCAAGGCCCACTGTGCTGCACCTCATGTATACCTTGCAATGCACCACAGCAGTGGCGATGTGGGGACCAGATGAGGCACCTACAGACTTATTGGGATTTCTCACTGCTCTGAGATCACGTGGGCCTGTGCTGCAGAAGGTGGCTGAAATGGTGCTGTGGTTTGAATGAGATGTCTGTCCACCATAAGTCTTGGGCATTTGAATACTTGATCCTCAGTTGGTGGGAATATTAGGAAAGATTAGGAGTTGTGGTCTCAGTGGAGGAAGTATGTCACTAGGGGTGGGCTCTAAAGTTTCTAGTTAGTGAGTTCTCAGCCTCCTGCTCTCGGATCTAGATTTGAGCTCCCAGCTGCTGCTCAAGCCGCCTACCACCATTCCTTTGTCCCACCATTATAAATTCTAATATCCTAGGAACATAAGCCCAGTTAAATTCATAACTTCAACTTATAAGTTGCTTTGGTCATGGTATTTTACCACAATAGAAATACCACAAACAATAGAAAAGTAACTAATACAGAAGTGAAGGATAACATTCCTGAGCTGAAGTGGAGGGAGGCCAGAGCCTGGGGTCATCCAAAGGAGGTTTGACCCTGACAACCAATTCTTCTGGCCTCAGGACAGACAAGAGTTCAATTAAAAAAATAAGTCCTCTGTCAGCCACCAAGCCTGTTCAGAGGGCTGGGAAGAACGTGCCCTTCCCAGACCTTCTCATCCTGCTCAGCTTGGTAATGGCTCAGGGGACAGTCCCAGGCAGGAAGAGCCCTTTGGATGCTTCTGGAACATGAGATATACTAGACAAGCCATGCATATTACCTCTGTCTTCCAATTCCCCCCAAGAAACTTTCTAACCTCTGTTTTACATTCAAATCAAGGTACAACAACATTACTAGGTGAGAATTCAAGATCAGCCAGTTATGTGCATACAAACCAAGCTATTGAACACTATGCAACATTGCTCCCAATTCTTTCCTGAAAAATCCCCTGAGAGCAATAGTCCCCACTCACCCTATCATAGCATCAAGGGACCAGAAATGAATAACCATGTCCGGTAATTCCTGTGAGGGAGCTAACCCATGTGCACTGTGAGCAGCATCACAAAAATGTCCTTGCCCTTTGCCCCAAGTATTCATTCTGGGTGGAGAATGAGCTCTGGGGAGAGGGGAAAAAAGAACAGTGACGATAAAAAGGCCAAAAAGAAGCTAATACCACAGTCCTCCATGGAAGTTGAGTCCCAAAACCATCTAGCTGCAAAACCATCTAGAAACAACTGAGCTTCACAGAGAGTGAAGGCACTGTGAGGTAGGCGTGCTACTGTGGCAAACACATCCATCTTTAAAATGATGGGTAGCCCAGGCATAGAGGCAGACACAGGCAGAGTTTGAAGCTAGCCTGGTCTACATGGTGAGTTCTAGGACAGCCAGGGCTACACAGTAAGACCCTGTCTAAATTAAAAAAAAAAAAAAGGCAGAATGTGAGACTAGAACATTTATTATAACTTCAGGAGCCCTGGCTCACCTGTGCCTTCTCCACATCCATGTCGCAATGTCACGGCCCGAGAACCATCTTATGCGTCATTCCTTAGTCACTGCCCACCCTTCTTTGAGACAGGGTCTCCCACTGGCTTGGAACGAGCAGAGCAGGCTAGACTGCCCAGCCAGTAAGCCCCACACTCCACCTGTCCCCACCTCCCCAGCACTGGGGTTACAAACACGCCACCATGCCCAGTGCTTCTTCACACGGGCTCTAGTGAAAGGGCCCAGCTCTTCAGTGCCTGCAAGCACTTTCCTGACTGAGCTCTCTCTCCAGCCCCATGTTTTCCTTTCATTTAAAGATTTTCTTCTCTCTCTCTCTCTCTCTCTCTCTCTCTCTCTCTCTCTCTCTCTCTCTCTCTCTCTCTCTCTCTCTCTCGGCTGGTCTTGAACTTGCTAAGTAGCCAAGGATGACTAATTCTCCCACCTCTACTTCCCACATGCTGGGATTACAGGTGTGTGTCACCTGTAATCTCAATTAATTTTTGACTAGGAGGTTCATACAAGTAATAATTCATGCAGACAGCACATTAAAGTGTACAGACGGACCTAAGGCAATTTGCAATTCCCAGGAAGCCAAAACCAATTCAGAATGTGGGTTTGTCCACTGACAAAACTCAGACAGGAACACAGGGAAGTTAATCTCATAGCTACGTGGCTGTTTTTCTCCAGCAAGGCTGTTAAAGCAAAGGCTAAAAACTGAAACCCCATAGCAGATAGTTCACACCATTTCAGAGCTTCTTAGGCAGCGCCCTCTTCGTCAACTCTGGCTCAAGCCTCTGACTTGAAAGAGAGTGAAGCAGCAGTTAAATTGGTGAGGAAAAGGCATCCATCGGGGACTGGGAGAGAGCAGTCATGTGAAAGCAAGCCCCAAATGCTGTTTACCTGCTCACCTGCCAGGATGTGGGCTTCTACGGACCGCCGGGAGCTTTAAGCTGCTCAGGGCCTGGAGCAGGTGCCTTGGAGCTGTGGCAGTAAATGCCATGTGGGAGAGGCTGTGATGGCCCCTCAGCCTACAATCCAGTCTTCCCGTCAGAGGGTGGGGAACGCAAGCTACAGCAGCTCAGACTTGATTCTAGAACGGGAGCCAGCAAGGGCTGGGTGGGGCGGGGCCATGTGGCCTCAGCCTGTCTAGGAGTGTGGAGTAGGAGGAAGCCTCAAACACAGCCAAGGCAGGGGACAGTCTTGAGGGTGAGCATGGGAGTGTCTTTAGAATCCAAGCCCTAGTTTTTATGTGTATTGGACTGGTTTTTAGGGACAGTTCCTGGTCCTCTCCAGAATACTTGGACTCAGACAAGATTCTCTCATTATAAAACTGAATATAGCTAATGGTGGCTAGGTGAGTTTGTTGGGGCCTCAATTGCTGAGGAGCTAGTCAACCCATCTACAGACAGGAACCTGAGCTCAGGATGGTGTTTACCCAAGAATCCACAGTTGGTTATTGAGGTCTAACCACAAAGCTGGAGACAGCCCTCGGGGAAACCTCTGGAGTCCCTGAGCCACACCTGCAGGCAGCCACTTTTGCTCACCTGGTGATGGTGACTAGGCTGAGTGGCCCTATGTGGCAGGGACAGCACCTCTTTCTTTGCTAACTTTCTATAACCAACTTTTTCTTTTTAAAAATAGGATCTCGGTGTAGCCCAGGCTAGCTTCAAGCTTGCTATGTAACTCAAGCCAGTTAGTTTTGCTTTGGAGTGCTATGATTATAGGTGTGTGCCACACTTCCCTCATTTTATGACTATTTAGAAGTTAGGGATGGTTATCCCCATCTCTCAAAGGATCCTTCAGTTCCTCCACCACTAGACATCACAATGGTGGTGCTGCTGAGTTGAAAGCATCAAGTTATCAACAAGGGAGGGAGGTAACCATGCTTTCCTCCACATGAACACAGAATCTCTCAGTAAGGGCCACTCAATTAACATCTGACTCCACAAAGCTTAGTCTGGGAATGCTGGCCTGGACGGACACAAGGGTTTGCCCTATTCTAAATGCTAATGAGTAGTGTTGTTCAAGAAATGCTTTCTTAATTAGATTGAGAAAACTGGACAATATGCCCACACTGGAATGTACCCAGCCACTTCCCCACCCCCACACCCCCCTTGCAGTGACTACACCCTGCAGGCCCTGCACAAAATCCCTGCCTCTTGAACTGGTGTGGTACCCTTTTCTCCGAGTGTCCCATTTCTAGGCTGGTAGTTCAGGATGGAGGTGCTATCAGGTCTTCCAGAGCCAGGACCACCCTCAGGACAGTCAGCACTCCTGGTACCAGAACCACATTCAAGTTAGTGGATCCCACTGTCCAGTGCTTTCCCAAGGATTTCTCTGCCACATGGTCTCTAGCAGGTGTTTCTCAAGGATTCACAGGTAAAGCTGGCTTTCTCTAGTTACAGCATCTCTGATAGCACCAGTCCCTGAAGCCTGAAATATATTACTTGTCTTTATTCCCATGTCCTGATTACACACGTTACTATGGACTTTCAAAAGGAGCCTATGAAATTCTTCCTAGCCCTTATCAGAAGCAACTCTTGGGCTGGCAAAATGGTTCAGCCAGTAAAGGCACCTGCTGCCAAGCCTGACAATCTAAGTTTGACTCAAAGGTCCCACATGATAGAGAATTGACTACTACCAGTTGTCCTTTAATGCACACACCTACACATATTATGCACATGCCTATATATGCCCACAAAACAAAGATCAACAAATAAAACCTCTTATTCCGGCCGGGCGGTGGTGGCGCACGCCTTTAATCCCAGCACTCAGGAGGCAGAGCCAGGCGGATCTCTGTGAGTTCGAGGCCAGCCTGGGCTACCAAGTGAGTTCCAGGACAGGCGCAAAGCTACACAGAGAAACCCTGTCTCGAAAAACCAAAAAAAAAAAAAAAAAAAAAACCTCTTATTCCAACATTTTTGCTCATAGAAGGGGCTAAGTCTGCTGGGTGAGTCTGTGGTTTGCAAACATGATAACCAGAAGGGACCAGAAACAGGGAGGCTACCTTTGGATTCTGACTATACGGTAGAGCTGAACTGAAGACGGCCCTTCAGCAAGCTCAAAGTGAATGCTCATCTGCCTCTTTTCTAAAACTGTAACTTCCAAATTCAACTAGTATTTGCTGTTTTACTTTGAACAAGCACCAGTAACAGCTAGTGAGGTCTAGGTCTGATCACTTACACCAGACTCACAAATACTCAAAAGCGAGGTTCTTGAGTGGATACCAGGAGTCTATACAGAGAAGTCCAATGTCCGAATGGGTTAAGAGTCATGACAGGAGCCGGGCGGTGGTGGCGCACGCCTTTAATCCCAGCACTCGGGAGGCAGAGCCAGGTGGATCTCTATGAGTTCGAGGCCAGCCTGGACTACCAAGTGAGTTCCAGGAAAAGGCGCAAAGCTACACAGAGAAACCCTGTCTCGAAAAAACAAAAAAAAAAAAAAAAAGAGTCATGACAGGTCTCCTTATTGGCTGCCTAACCTGCCTCAGCAGGACTTCCTGATTTTTCCTACAAGTTCCCAAGCTGTGCCTTTTTGACCTGAGGAAATCAGACATGGCCCCTAATTTTCTTCTGAGACTCAACATTTCATTACTCTGCTCACTGTCCTCAGTGGGAGACTACACGTTAACCAACATTCTCCTCTAACCTGGGGACAGAACAGATCCAGAATAGACCTGGTGCTCATTACTCTCAGTGGCCAACATTTCCAGTGCTGGCTTTTCAAGCTTTCCAACAAACAGCTCTGACTTGTGCTGGTTCAAACTGACAACCAGTTAATATTGTTGTTTTCAGTTCACTAGAACTCAGGTCCCCAAATAAAAAAGTCAAGTTTTAAGTGTTCAGAGTCACACTAGCGATCTGCTCTCCAACAGTATTTTTTCGACAAACTTTCATAAGGCTAATAAAATAAGACACGTGTACAGTATTTCATATGTAAATGAACAAATGGATGACTCATGCAAACATGGCATTTCTACTCCGAAAAGAAAACAGGATTAAGGAATTAACAGATCCTAAAAGCTGGGTAGATGAAAAAAAAAAAAAAAACCTCAGTATTTCCAGCTCTCAAGAAAGGCTGGGAGCTGGGAGCACCCAGCATCCTGGACACCAGCCCTCTCCCTGTGAGGCAGGGAACCCAGAGTACATTCCCAGCTCTAGCAGCTGTCCTGCAAGCAATACACTTACACAAACTAAAAAGAGCAACATTCCAGGCACAGTCCAATTTGAACCCCCTCCCCACAGGAATGCTATTCTTGGCAAGAGATCTTCCAAAGGAAGCAACATCTGCAAAGCCCCTGCCCTGTGAGGTCAGGGGAAAGCTGAGGCAGCTGAGCAGCTCTGCACCCGCTCTTAGATCCAAGTAGCAGGGGATTTACAGAGGGTAAGAGTAAACCTACCTCCTTTTCTCAATTCCCCACAGCCTCTGCCAGGTCTAACAGGGTTTAGGTAGTTCACTATTTACCTACTTGCTCAACCCCCTGAGCCGTGGTGGTACCCTTAAACAAACAATTCAGCTTCACCCATTTGCTACAAACCTGTTAAGATTTGTTTTAAACAGAGGTGTTTTGTTGTTTTTCTCTGTGTAGCCCTGGCTGTCCTCGAACTCAGGAATTCATCTGCCTCTGCCTCCCAAGTGCTGGGATTAAAGGTGTGCAACACAACCACCCGACAAAACTTAATTTTTTAATGCCTGAGTCAGGATGGTATACTGCAAAGCTGGGTACTGCTCCATGCCTGCAATCCAGCAGAAACAGGCCAGCTTGAGTCACTTACTGAGTTCTGAGCCAGCCAGCACTAGAGACCCTATCTAAAAAAATAAAGTTATGGGTAACCACTCCCAGTTGTGATTCTTACTGGATGAGAGATGCAGAAAGTTTAGTCAACTTAGGTGGCTGAGCAGAGAAATTCAACTTTTATTTTATTATGCACCAAGACCAGCAGAGAGTTTGGGTATCCCCAGGTTCAATGTGCTTTCGAGCTGCCTTAAAGATTAAGGCTTCCCATAATCTTTAAGCTGGCCAGGAAGAGGAACTTCTAACTTTGGCTTGAACAGTTCTGAAATTAGGCTACTTCTGGCCAAAAGAATGGCAGTCCTTCCTTACATACCCACTCAACGCAAATCTGCAACCCGGCCAAGATGTGTGCTGCAGACATTCTCTTCCAGGTCATCCATGTGTCTCTATGCAGGGTTCACATGACTATTCCCAGGGGTAGGTTAGTATGTGGGTACTTCTGTGCTTAGTGACTCCTACTCACCAGACTCAAATCTCAGGAGCCACTTAAGCAAGCACTGTGAAATCAGACTCCTCATCTGGGAATCATGTATGCCAAATTTAATATTTTAAGAGCCCAGAGTAGCAAAGATCTGAGGGGAAGGGACAGCATCCATTTTCAATAATCAAGAGGAAGAGGGGTTATGTTCACATGGTTGATGAGCTCATGCTTTATCTCCACAACAAAGAATCAAGACAGGCTTAAGAAACCACCAGAACCAAGATGTCCACATAGGTACCTAGAAGTAACATTTAGTTACTGTTCAACTTGGGTTCAAACTTTTTTCCTGAATTCTCACCCCCAGAAAAAGACACACTGATGCTGGCCACCTTGAAAACTGGTTTTATATATCCAGGAGGGTTCAGAGGCAGAACAGAGGAAGCCGCACTGCAACCAGTATGGCTGCACCTTCGCTTGCTTCCCTCCACCTCACAAAGCAACATTGTATAAAACTGTATTTACAGGAAAACAATGAGAATTAAAGAGTGTGTACAAAAGTGACAAGAGCCAGAATGTAGGGATGGCTTTGGGAATAAGGAATACTGTGTTCCACACTGAAGCACAGGGCGGCCACACATTACGTTCGAGGAGCAGACCTCAGTGCCAATTGTAGGGAGAACCAGCCGTTCCAAAGGAAGAGTTGAGGGTGCAGAGCTATCGGCTTTAACATTGCAGTCTTAATTACCACACCACCTTTCTCCTGCCATGTGGCAGAAGCCAGACAAAGTGACGGGAACAAAAGAGGGACTGTCTGGCAAGCCCTCGATAAAGATGGGCTCAGAAAGC